AGTTTAAAAACACAGGCTTCTACAAGTTCCTTCATGTCTCTAAGTATGTGAGGCCTCGAAAGAGCTTTACTGTTATTTGATGTCAGTGCATAAAAACACACTTCTGTGCCATTTTGGCATTATCTACAAAAAGCATTGTGCCTGCCCAGTACACACCAGGAAGGACAGGCTGAACTGGGATTTGTTATGAATTTTTCCTTAATCCCAACTTTCTGTTCAGTGTCTTTTATTTTATTGCTACCTGACATCCTTACTCAATTAATAACTATCAATTAAAAAGTAGAACCCATTAATGTTAATATCAGCAAAACAAAAAAAGCTGAAGCACTGGAGAGACTGTGCCAACAGATAAATCTAACTATCTGAGAAAGAAAATAATTACAAATGTGTGAACTAGCCTGTATTAATATTGATACATAGATATAGATGACAAAACGTTGTATTAATGTAGATGCATAGATATAGATGGCAGAGATAAAGATAGCAGTCATTCAGAGCTTGTTCTTTTTTAAAAAAATCACAGGGCAGATTGATTTGATAGTTTGCAGAGTCTTAATTTTTGGCTTATTAATTCTCAAAGTTCTACTGTTTCAGACAAGGATTTACAGGTACCTAACATGTAATGGAACAGATGGAAATTCGTCATCCCAAACCTCCTCTGGTAGCTGGTTCACTTTTGTCACTGGCCAGATTAGTATAGCTATATATTTTGATAGAATTACTTTTATAACTACAGAAAAACAAGCACAGTACCTAACTGTGGTGTTTGGGGTTTTTTGTTTGATTTTTTGTTGTTGTTGTTGTTGTTGTTGTTGTTGTTTGGTTTGGGTTTTTTTGTAGTTTTCTTAATATTGGCAAGTGGAGATCTTTCTAAAATATTAATAAATAAATAAATAAATATGCTCTCAGTTTTTCTCTCAAATATTCAGCATGCAACTCAGCTTGAGAAACACTAAATGTCAGTCATGGTTCACTTATGTTGCTCACTCCTTTCCCCCACTATCTAAGATTTTTGGTATGTTATGAATACTTATAACTCATAGGGTCTACTCACCTGTCTACATTTACATACTGTCAGTATTCACATGGTAACATGGGTCATGGCACAACACTTGTGTAGACCAAGCACAGGCTTTGGAGGGTTGCAAGAATGCCATTTGAGCGAAGGTTATATACGGGTTATATAAAGCAAGTCCTTTCTCACAAGCCAGTTTAACAGGTCTGCAAAGCTGGGATTCAAATTCTTGTCACTGCTTTCACTGGTGTTGTAACTTAGACCCCAGCTTAGACTTGCACTTAAACAGAAGTAGCTAAATACAGCTTTGAGGGCTCATGCTGACAGGGTAGTTCCCTAAAGTCTACTCACTTGTTGCCTAACCCTGAAAGTTCAACATTCACTGTGCTAGAGGAAAAGAAGGATTGTGACCTCAGCATTGTGGTTTGGTTCTAGAGCTCACTGCAGGAAATAGTGCGATCAACAACAGCTGCTGTGGGAGAGATGCTGAACGTCTTACCTCACAGCACCTTACCATGAGCAAGGCAGTATTGAAAAATATACCAATACCAGTACACCACTCTCTGGTTTAATTTAGCCCATCTGGATGTTTCTTCTGTTCACTCAGACTGCTCCCTGCTCAATGTTAAAGAGTTGGTGGAGGTTGTTGCTTAACACCCAGGTTTTCTCTTTTAGTATAGAGGGATGTAACAATCTGGGCTTACAGCTTTTGCAAGGAGAAAGGAGATCTAAGAGGCTAAAGGCATTCCTAGATGCAGTTTATGGATCTAGCCCTTAGCAATTTTTCACTCTGAAGGTTGTATAACCACTCTGTCAGAACCAGGAGGCAATAAGAAGGTCTAAAATCTACTTTTAAGGTTTCCAGTTAATAAAACACAAATGACAATAGTTTGAAGTCCTCCCTCCCCCAACCTTAAAAACATAGAAGTGAATTATAGCAATTGGGTACTTAAGTGTTTGCAAAGATTCCTGGACTGAAGCATGAAATAAAACAAAGGATTTAAGCAAAAGTACTTTTATTAGTAGTAAAGGGAAATGTGATATCTAAGAACTGTCAGATGAGAAAGTTTGATACAAAATGCTTCTTGTAAGTTAAATCAGTAAGGAACTGCCTGGAAAGAACTGCAAAATGATTTCACAATTTTCAATGCCCTTGGCCATGAAGGAGTGATGAAATCTGATAAAACAGAAAGAATTGAACAAGGGGTAAATAAGTCTAACTCTACACACACAGGCAGGAACTACGAATTAACTATTGCTTGAGAAGAAAAAAATAAGGAATTAACATCAGACATCTCTCTGGAAACATCAAGTCAAGCACCCAGTATCAAGTAAAAATGTGAAACAGGATATTTGGATGATTAAGAAAGAAACTGTAAACAAAATAGAAAACATATATATATATATATCACAGTATAAATACATTGTATAGCTATATCACTGTATAAATACATCATACACTCTTATTTTGAATAATTCATGCAGTCCTGGTCATTCTACTTCAGGAGAAAGAAGGGCACGACAGAGAGAGAAGATTGACAGAAGAAAGAAGTAAATTCACAGAATATAGGACAAATTCAGACTACTCATCATAGTGCACTGCCCTGATTTGGGAAGTATTTGAACTGTACATATTGGATATAGAGCCCTGAAGATGTCTGGAAGCGAACAGCTGAAGGTTTCCCTGATCTGCAGGGATCAGTGGAGGCCTTATAACAAGACTGTACCCCCACCAAGGCACACAGCCAGGTACACAGGGCTGCGTGGGCTCGTGGCTTGAGTCAGTGCAGCTATTCCTACTTTATGCACAACCAAGTGTCTTCTTGAAAGAGCTGACAGACAATATCAGGGAAGGATTGTGAGGAGAAGTATAGGCAAGGTTAGAAATTAATATATAGGCAAAATAACCATGCTGTCCTTCAGTCTCAGGATACATTATAGTAGTTTGTTATTTTTTTTTAAATCTTTTTCCTGTAACACCTTGTGGCTACTGAGGTAGCTGGTATTAAATCCCTTCCCAAATCATGCATCCAGTTCAGTGTCTGAACCCAGAAGGTAGGTCAAACTGCATTCCCCAGAGGTTATGTCACATTTCCCAGTGGAATTCCCTTTTTTTTTTTTTTTTTTTGTATCAGAGGGTGCCACACAGCTGAATCCTCTCTCAGCACCAAAAGTTAGGCAGGTATGGATAACCTCCATATCTGCTATCATGCCAGAAGCAGTGGCAAAATTATGCAAACTCTGGAGCTTGGCTAAATAAAATTAGTACAAATATTACCTGTGTTTTGATATTGCTTTATGTTGTGCCTCTTATTGCAAAAAAGTGGTATGCAACTGAGTAATGGAGTTCTTTCAAATATGTAAAAATGATATGCAAAAAATCTATATTATGGGGTGATATTATGACACTACTTTGCAATCCCATTTTTTTTAATGATAGATGGATTGTTATAAAACTTTGAGCTACATTTAATTGAAGAATTATTTAGGCAGAGAAGATTTCGGTAAATTGACACCATGATTTAGGTGTAGGATTTAAATCTGTAGTATTATTTCGATGACAGTGGAGAGAAATTGCTGAGGTGGGAATCACTCTTCAAGCACTGTTGAGCATTGAGTTTACTCTCTATACCTCATATGTTCTTAAGTAGCCAAAGTTTTTACACTGACAGAGAAGGTCTTGTAAACTTCATTGCTAAAATGGTACCCTGAGATGACAAAAGCTTAATTAACTTAAGCAAAGTCCAAATTGAAGAAAATTAAAAGAAAGCGCTTGGCCATTGCTGGCATTTGGGAACCCAATAAAGCACCATTTACCAAAATCTTCAAGCAAATGATAGACAAATCCAACCAGTTAAGGATTTTTGGTAATATTTCAGCTATGACTTTCAGTTGCCTCCTCCTCACTCAAACAAATTATTTTAATCTTATCCAGAGTCATCATTCTCAAACAAAGCCATTGTCTCCATGAGACAAGTCATTCCACTGCTAGAAGAAACTAAAAATGGGCGTCATATTGATAAGGTGTCACAACAACCAACTTGATATCACTCTGGTGTACATTCAACATGAATGACTCATGAAAAGCTGTGTTACCCTGAAGGAGAAGAAAAATTTACCCAGTTCTGTCCTCTAAAACTTACCGAAAAATATAATGCGCAAGTACTTATAATAGCCTAAACATCAATACTTTGCAGTCAGAAGTACCAAGTGAAAAGTGTCTATATATGCCAAGGTAATAGAATACTTCATTAACAGCAGTAATCTCTCCACTGTCATACCAGTACATCTGCTAAGCTATAACTACGTTCAGAAACAGTTTCACTGAAGACAGAAAGATCTGAGCCTTTCCAGCATGCTTTCTGATAAACCTTTCCAGGCAAAATGGAAGAGCTTTGAGGAGGATTTAAGTGGACACATAGTCTGCAGCAAAAAAGCGACTTCCTGTAAGTAGATCCAGATAAAAATTCTTAAAGTAGTTGGCAAAATGCCTTTTCTCAGGGAGACATAGAAACTGGCTTTGCTCTTTGCAGACTAATCATTAGACATGTCTGATCACAGAAGCAGAGGAGAAGGAAGTGAGGAAGAGATTAGACTGGCCACTTCTCAGCTTTCTTACTCCTGAAGAATTCTTATCTTGGAAATCAGGGTATTTTAAAATGTCTGACAGACCAAACATGGCAATTTTCCTGTTTCCTTCTAAAAATACCAATCTTCTAAAAAAAAAAAACACAACAGAAAAAGCAGTCCTACATAATTAAAATAATTTCCAATTTTATCAGAAATTTCATGAAAAGTTATAATATGTATTTTTTTTCCACAATGAGCAAAATCCCCTTATATTTTTCTGTAATACTGAAATTATTATTTTCAGCATTAAAAAAAAAAACTGTTAAAATGTCCTTCTTTCCCGTTTCCATTTCACTGTGAGTGGTATAATTTCTTTCTGTTCTAGAATGAAAGGACATTTTAAAATGTCCCAGATTGGCTGGAGTATTATAATTTTGCTGAATATTTCTCAACAAGGCCTATTTGTAAGCAGAGGCAAAGACTCACATAGATTCATCTGCAGGAGTATGACTAACAGAATGCTCTCTGCTTCTTGCTACCATGAGGAGTATCAGTAGGGGTAAATCTGTATCATCACAGCTTAAACTTCTTCCCCAGCAGGATCTTTGGAAAAGTTTATTTAGCTGCTTCTCCTTCTCCTTTGCTCTTCTATATACATATTTTATGTATAAGAGGGGAGCTAGAAAGAAGATGGGGAAGCAGGGTTATGTTAGCGTGAGGAGCTTCCAGGGCAGGATTCCAGGGCAGCTTTGCTGGCTCTTCTCTCCCTAGCAGCATCACCATGTCCTGCTTCGCCATCCTCCTGAAATCATCATGCTCTTCAGATGTGGTCTTTCATCCTTGTCATTAGTCATAATCCTCAGTTTGTCAGATGTGTGTTCTGGCCTCTCCCATACACCTCTGTTTACTCTTCCTCCTGTTGCCAGTCTGTTCCTCCCTTCTTCTCCATTCCTTTCCATGCTTCTTTTCTACATTTCCATTCTCTAATCCCAACTACAGTCCTTATGGGCTTTAAAAAAATGCCTCATAGCGTTCACTGTGCCTCCAAACCAATCTCATGATCTTATGGTTATAACTCTTGTTTTGCTTCCCCTTTCTGCTTCCTTTGTCTCCTGCCATTATGCCATTTCTATTCAGGCTGTCATCTCTTCTGGAAAGGGATTTTTCTTGTTCTCTGTTTTGCAAAGCACCTGGCATGTTTTTGATTCTGTCAAACAAATAATAACAACAGATATGAAATTTGCAGTGCAGCAGAATCCTGATATTAGGAAGTAATAGAGGCAAATTACACTATCATTTTCATTGCCATGTATACACCACTATTTGACAAAAATTCTCATTGACTGGATAGGTAAACATCAAAAATTCTCAAGCAAGCACCTCTAACATGAAGGATATGTAGTTGTGTTTCATGTTGGATCTCAATGAGCCACAGGGTTATACTTGACAATTTCAGTATTGGAAACAAAGGAAATAAATGAATGAGGTGCAGGTTTTCAGATGGGTATTAGGGTATAAAATCAAGTACCTGGAGAAGATGTAAATAACTGTTTGAAACAAAGAAGCAGGACAAGGGTGGAATGGGTATGTTCAATTTAACTCTGCATAATTAAAAACATATACAAGGTAGATAGATTCTAGCATGTAAGCTAATAAAAGTAGACTCTCCCTTAGCCCAGTGTTATCAGAAGCTCTTGGTATGGCTGAAGAATCTTATAAAACATTTTAACTTACTCATCTCAGTCATTATATGATACTTGGCACTTGAAGACAATGCTTATGTTACTTGTGCTGCTTAAAAAGCCCCAACAAAAAAAACCCAGAGCTGGAAAAAATAAAAGGAAATAAGACGTGGATTTTACTGGACATTTAGTGACAGACTAGTAATATGAAATCTCTAAACAGTATAGCTTTAGCACTAATGGATGCAGGCCAGGACTGAATGTAAATTATTTTACATATGGCTAGAAATCTCTTAACTAAGTTATTTGCAAATTCCTGGGAGAAAAGTGATTTGTTATAGACATTGAGACAAGCCAATGTAACACTAATACTAAAGAAAAATAAACTGGCAGAGGAATGTCCCCCTGCTATACCAACCAATATACTTATAGCTGTTTCCAAAGTAGTATCTGTCATTCCAGCACATGGATTATATTATTTAACAGTGTGAATCAAAGGGAAGAGACTCATTCAAGAGAAGAGTGATATTAACACATCATTGCATGACATACATCTCTGTCACCAAAGTGGAAAAAGATGGGAGCAAGATGTTTTATGATAAACTGAGAAGAGGATCTGATATTATTAATAGCCATAATATCTGAGGCTTAACAAACAAAAAGAAGAGCTAGAAAAAGCAATCTGATGGAGGGACAGAAAGTTTTCCTCTGTCTCTAGTGAAGTGTCCTAGGGACTAATTTTACATGAAGGGAAGGAATTAACTAAGCTAAACCTCATTTCTATTATACTTTTTTTGCACCTGCCCTTTGAAGCCCTAGTAATGCATGGAATGCATGAGAAAAGAATTCATCAAAAAGGCACTCTGAGGAGAAATCTTTTCAAAATGGAAGAACTTTATTACTCTGATAGGTCTTTTTAGTATTTTGAAGACAAGTAAGCCTTTGAATTAGTAAAAATGATTGACATGTGAATTGATTCAAAGCTAAACGTAAATGGTAGTCAAAAATGTCACTTTGATGCATAGGTATTTAAAACCTCAAGTTATATTTTTATTGGCTCTCTCTCTCCTGATATTTTTTGGGCAGCACCAAAACGAAGGTCTCCAGATCCAGAGATTCATGAAATAGGGTACAGGGCCACCCTGGACTGTGGCACAGCTTTATCCTGGACTGCCAGTAGTTCTCACTGCCCAAGTACCAGTTTCACCAGAGCAAAGCCCAGGGGCAATAATAGCATGAATGAAACAAGAATGAAACATCAACAAATGGGAGATGTGGATCCCTGTGCAACACATGGCAAATGAATGAAATTATTTCCTTGCATCACTAGGACCCAGCTACTCATTATCATAATGGCTCGTTTCTAGCTGCCATGATGTCCCATATCATTCCAGATTTGAATTAGACAGTCTATCTCCCTGGAAAGAGATGGAAACCCAAAACAGTATGGAGAAACTAAAGGCCAGTCAAAGACGGTAGATAAAGCCTCTAAAGTGAGGATAGGGCTTCAGTTCTTGGTTGCTCCATCTGTATGGCTGAATTCAGCCCTTATTTATCCAGTCTCTGGTGCAAGCCAAGGCCGCATCCAAAATTAATAATGAGAGAAAATATGCAAAAGTTACTACCCACACTGTGACTTCCACAAAAAGGAAACTCCATGAGAGCTAGCTCTCCGAGTGCCCTGGGTAAGCTATCATGTATCCCAACACTAAATCAGGATGTGTCAGGGATTCACAGCCCCTAACCTCTGAAATTAGATCTCTAAATTCATCCTTTCAACAGGAGATACATGTAAAGAAGGATCAAAGAGATCACATGCATGTTATCTAATAGTTGAGCAGTGTCAGAATGATATGACAAAGTGTGGTGCCTGCAGACTGAGATACTAGCTCCTCTAGGAAAAGAAGGCCACTCAATGTCTTCTGAGAAAAATCTCCATTTTACTCAGAAAAACAGTCCACTCATTCCCAGAGAAGTGTCATAAACAAGATTTTCTGAGGAAGAAGGAGGGGATTTCTGAAAAGGAAAGGCGCACCAGGAAGGGAAGGGATGGTACAGTACAGGAAGTAACTTCAGAGGCAATTTTTGACTAGGCTTATCCTAACCAACCTTTTCCCAGGCAAGCAGCTGCAGCTCAAAGTGTCTGGTAACTTATGAATACTAATATACAAGTCTCTCCTTTCCCACAACAACACTTTTTAGAACTTGAAAATATCATGTTGGCCTTCTTGTAATACCTTCCCACAGCATAGTAGTGTAGAGTCAGTCTTAGTCTTTCTATGCCTTTCTCACCCAAGAGATACGCAACATTTCCATAAGTTCCAGAAAAGTAGGCCATTCATCAAATCACAGGAAAATAAGGTGAGCGTTATCCATAAGGATGCCAGACAGGTATTACATGTCTGTCCATCAACATCCTGAACCATGGATAGCCATGATTCAGCTATCAACAAGCATGGAGGGAGTCAGTCTGTTGTCTTGCTCTGGCATTTATGCTAAAAGAGGATAGAGAGTGAGCCCAGTAACAGCTGGATGTCATCTCTGTGAGATATCTTCCTACTTGCAGCAAACAGCTTCTACCAATTTACATCATATTCATCTGCTTACTAATGCTCACTGACTTTAGCTAACAAGGACTTCTGTCACCAAAAGGTGCTTTAAATTAAAAATAATAGCAACAACACAATAGAACTTAGGTTTAAGAACTGTCAAATATAATATATTATCTTGCAAAAGTATGCTGCAATGGTTCAATGACACATTTGCACATACATAAGTCTTTGCTAAGATATCTGGCTTCTTTGTATATATATATATATATATATATGTATATATATATATTCTGCATGTGTATGTATATATTATATATATATATGCAGTCTTAATATAAATTTAATATATTTTTGTAATCTTAAATTCAAACAACTTGACAGCATCTGATATTTAAAAAAAAAGATAAATTCAGCTTTGCACAATCCTATTCAAAATATACAAGTGTAAAAATGGTATTAGCTACTTTAAAGGCTTACTTTATACAGATTTTTCTTCCCTTTCCAATAATTATTAAGATACTTTGCTATAGTGAAAGCAGGTAATATTTCTAAGGTATACCTTCTTTTCTAAGGCATATCTTCTTGCTTTTTCAGCAAATAATTCAGAAGCAGATGACACAGGTCAAGCATTAGTTTTCATACAATTTTCAACAATCCAGCTATATTAATGTCATAAAATCCATAAGAAATGTTTACAGCAGTACAAATGAATGTGAAGAGACTTTCCCCCCATTCATTGTGAGGAGTGTAAAATCAGAAAAGGTAACTCTTTTCTCCTGCTTCCCTGACATAATCCCTTCATCAGGATTTTTTCTTTTTCTGCCATTCAGCTCCCCCTTAGATTGCACTGCCAACAGAAAGAATTTGACATTATTTTAAATAAACTCCATTAGCTTCTAACACTGGTGTTGACTGGGCATTCCACATAAGCCTGACATCCTGCTTTTCTGCATACAACAATTCCCCCCACTGTAAACACACTTCTTTTTCTTGTTTGTTTTGATTTGTTTTGACCAACACTAATGACTTCTGCACTTAGGAGTGGTCTCCCTGACTCACTGCTGGTTGTAGACAGACATTGCTTTTGTTGGGTGCTGGGTAGTAAATATTCCTTCCTCAGGATCATCTTCTGCTTAGCCTGCAGGGAAGCATGGGTGCTGCTAGGTAAGTGTTAATGACTGATGCCAGCTGGGGAGAAATTGAAGTAGAGCATAGTGCTACAAATAGCTTCCTACCTCATGGCTGAGAAAATATCCCTCAAAGGCAGCTCTGCACAAGGTAACAAACATGGACAACTGCAGAGGGAATTTGGTGTTGGGACACTCAAGTAACTACTGCAAAAAAGGTACTGCCTGGGAGTCATCCTGTTGTTAGGAAAGCAGTTTCATGGGATAGCAGGCAGCTTGTGGCTGAGACTTTCAACAAAGAGCACACAGCCTAATTGGGATGATTTTGCCAGCAAGTAAAAGGCATAAAAGAGGACTTGCCTCTTGCACAAATTTAGGTAATGTAGGCATTGAGACAATTATTTCTCTTGAAAAGAGCACTACAAAGAAATGCCTGAAAGCTATTTTTTATTCTCCTTCCCTGCCTCCATTCCTGCTATTGGCAGTGGATGAACTGAAGTGTAGGGAACCTCTGTAGTAAAGAGCAGCTTTTCCCTCCACAACAGCAATGAATCATTTCTACACAGCACTAAGTGGTTAAGGCCCAGTAATATTAAAGGAGAATCCTCATTAGGAATACCTCTCAGTGCCTTGCTGGCCCAATTTCTTCAGCTAGGCATATTGGCTTGGATTTTAATCTAACCCTGTCTTTTTCTCCAGCAGCCTATGAGGGTACAAATATTGTCTAGTAGCAAAGGAGATGCTGCTATTTTGTATAGATTAATATAAGGAGATGATTTATGGGCTCCTCCAGTAAACAAATCAGGAGAGAGACCTGGAATGAAATGGCCTGAGGGCAAGAGCTCT